CACCTTTCAAAAAAGCTTAATGTATTAATACAATTAAGCTGCAACTCAAAATACAACAACAAAAACAACAACAAAACACTCAAACTTATCAATGTTTTCTGTGAAGGCCTTGAAGTGTCGTCCATATCTTCTGTCAGTCAGTCTCATAAAAATGTGTCTTTACCTTGAAAGCCTACTTCAAACTCTAGTAGCTAGAATTAATCTAGATCTTTACACTTGTAGAATCCTTCAAACTAGAGAGATATGACTAAGATTACTGTGAAATTGCTAAAGTTTTGGGGACACATGGTGCTCCCACCTCTGGGGCTGGAGGCTGAAGACCCCTACCTGCTCCAGGAGCTGATGCTGAGATCCTACTGGCTGCAGCAGCTGCCACCTCAGGGCAGAGCACCCAGACAGCAGCCTGACACCAGGAGCTGGCACCAGATTTCACTCAAACACAGAGGTCTCATCAGGAGCTGGCACTGAGCCCTTGCAGTGCTGAAACTTGGGGTAGGCAGCAAGATTATGTAGAGAGAATATTAGGAAAGGATTTAGTAAGAAGATAGGACAGACTGTAGTGATAAGGATTTCCTGGAGAAAAGGAGACTCAGGGGTGACCTTATTGCTCTTTACAGACACCTTAAAGGAGGCTGTAGTGAGGTAGGGGTTGGTCTGTTCTCCCACGTGCCTGGTGACAGGACAAGGGGGAATGGGCTTAAGTTGCGCCAAGGGAGTTTTAGGCTGGATGTTAGGAAGAACTTCTTTACCGAAAGGGTTGTTAGACATTGGAACAGGCTGCGCAGGGAAGTGGTGGAGTCACCATCCCTGGAAGTCTTTAAAAGACATTTAGATGTAGAGCTTAGGGATATGGTTTAGTGGGGACTGTCAGCGTTAGGTCAGAGGTTGGACTCGATGATCTTGAGGTCTCTTCCAACCTAGAAATTCTGTGATTCTGTGATTCTGTGGAACAGACTCAGACTGTCAAGCCAGACCAGCCAGTGTATAAATACATACATCTAGTACTTAACAAACATGTGACCTTGCATAAAACTTTTCTAAAAATATACCAAAGAGAAATATTCTGTAATTTAGTTTTGAACTCATTGGACTTTTTTTCTTTTCCGTTTTTTAAATAACATACTATGCGTTCTTAAGTAAATTTTGCTGTTTGTGTATTATACAAATACCTACAGGCATGTTCTGAAAATCAAGCTCAGTTACTTTACACTGAATATTGTGAATAAAATGCAACTAAGATGAATATAAGATACTTTCTCAAGATGGTTATATATATCAAATGAATGCTTAATAAATACTGTTGAATTATTTCTGTATGTGATGACAAAGTGGTTTCTAATCATTTCCAAAACTTGCAAAATGCTATGAAACAATTTTGATGGATTTTATTTTCTCTCTCTCTTTTTTTCTTTTTTTAAATGAATTTGCACTAATCTGAACATGAAGAAGTTATAGGCATCTTGAACATATATATAACCTGAACATTTTCAAGTTATAGGCATCTCAAGCACAAATTTTAGAGACCAACAAGAATGAACTAAGAGGAAAGATGCAATGCTTTCTCTATTTCTGTCTTAATTTACAGTATTTCCAGTAGACTCCTAAAGAATTGAAAACATCAATATTTCTTTCTGTATTTGTTTCTGTATTTAATGTGTGCTTCTATGAGAATGAAAAAAATTAAAATTAAAATTAAAATTAAAATTAATGAGGTGCAAGCAAGTGTGTTGTGAGAAGTCTTGACAAAAACTTGATAACAATTAAAAACAACAAAAACAACAGAAAAACTTAGAAGATAAACAAAAAGAGTAACTTCATAGAACAATGTTAAATTACATTCCTGTGTAATTATGATAATTATTATCATATTATATATGATAATATGTAATAAACAACATTTGCAGAAACACATTTGTAAAGAGAAAGTATTATTACAAATTATTGAAAGCTATTACAGAAAAGACAAAATTTGCAACATGGAATTTTAAGCAGCAGTAACTAGAAATCAAAACTTTGCATTTTTGTTATTGCTGTAGTGAAAGCAGAGATCTTTAAAAAAAATAATAATAATAATTAAAGGACTTCTAATATGGTTTGATATAGACTAATGTTGCACTTATTAGACCTATTACCCTCAGAGCAATTTTTCTGATAGATTTTGTATCTAATCACAAGATTAAAGAAAGATACACATTTAATATCAGTGTTTCAGTAAATCACCTTTGCCCTCTCTGTTAATGACCGGTATAATGGAAAACATTCTAGCTGAAGTATTATCTTCTTTTCTTCTTCTTCTTCTCTTCCCTTCTCTTCAATACAACACTGTCCAATTGTTTATACTGATCTCCTATTGCTGTGGAAGTGTATTCTCCCCATCTTAATTTTCCATTGTACTAATCAAGACAGATTGTAAAGATTGTGTTTTACCACACAGCTTTTGTTCTGCATTTGGGATTGCTAGACTGATGTAAAAAGTCAGTGGTTTTCCATTCTCAGAAATTGTTAATCATCACTTCATGAATTTACTCATTTATTTCAGTCTATCATCCTCCTTTATATAGTAGACAGCTTTTGTCTACTACTAGATGATTAAATCCTGCTAATTCAAATTACAGGAGTTAGTATGACTATATGAATGGGTAAGGTGAAGAGAATATTGTCAGAAGCTTATATCTTATTCATCATTCTATTAATGTAACCACATAGAGACAATCTTATTCTTAGTTTCTTATATATATATATGTCTTTTAAATTAAATGAATAAGTAAACAACAGTGGGTAGAAACAGAGATTGAAATGAGGTTTGGGGAGTTTAGGGATTTAAAATTATGAAATTCTCTAACCTTGCTCCATTTAATTCTATCCAGTTAGTACTATGCTGCATTAACTTTTCACATCAAGCACAATTCCAGTCACTGTCTGCTGGAGTTTAATTATCACTTCTTTTTTATATGGAAAGGAGAATAATTATAGAAGATATTTCAAAACAAACTTACTTTAGCATGGTATGCTACTTTTTACGTAATGGGCCATATAAACTTCAAATACTTTCACAATACCAGCATTTACCCACTGCTTTATACACTAGCTACTAAATTGCTAATTTGCTTAGCTCATCTCCATCTTATATGTAACAGTTTTGTATTTAGTAGCAAACACCAGCAAGCATTAAAAATAAATCATTGTGAATAATAGTAATCCAAGTCAGCATTTCAATGGAAAAAGTTGTAGAGAAAAAAAAAAAAAAAAAAACAAAAAAAAACACATTAGTGAGGACAGGTAATACAGCATTAGTTTCGTATCATGACATAAAGAGGGGTGCTTTATGAACTCCCAGTATTTCTTCAAAATATGCAAACAGTGCTCTGATTTTCTGAACAGATGTGGGAATCAAGGCTCATGGGGCCTAAAATTTAGTTATGCACATGGCAGCATCACATGCGAGAGAAGAATGAGGTGAACAGATATAAGTCGATGCTGCATGGCTGCAGAGCTATCAGAAACACATTACACCCACTCTAAAAGTCTTCTGTGCAGATGCAGCTCTGCTATATCAGGCCCCTTCTCAAAACTTTTTTTTTTTAATCTGTTGTAAATGAATATACGACCTAGTACTTCTGTTTTAAGTCAGAGTCCATAACAGAGGTCTGAATGTCTGTTGTGCTGTGTTCTCACCTCCAGCTACAGAAATAAACCACTTCAGGTTACTTGCTTGATCTGAATCTGCAAAACAGATTGTGATTCTGTAATGGATGCTAAACTTTTGCTGTCTTCCTAAATATTTTTATATTTGATTTGCTATATGAACCAGAAACAGATATGTACTGTAACCGGAAAGAAATACAGCTGCACCTAAACTGGGTTTATGGTCATTCCCAGTACCTGACAGTACCTGAATACTTAAGGTGTTCACAGCCATTTGTCCTAAATAAGAGGAAAATTGTATTTCAGGCATTTTTTGATCTAAAGGCATGCCTAACAAAGGCATGCATAGCTGCACAAACATTTATAAATGTTTAAAGGTCAAAAATAATCTGTGGATATAGTATGTATATATAGAAGTATTAGTTCTTTTCTCAACATTTTTCTATTCTCCCAACATTTCTTTTACACACAAGCAGAGACGTCGTACATCTTTCCCATTTTTTGAGAACAGTATTTTAGATTAGAACTTATGCTTCTGAAGTCATATTATTCAGTCTGAATACTGACAACAAATGTAAGATATTGTGGAATTGTTAGTAAATTTCGAGGAAAGCTAATAATGAGAACCTTTACAGATACATAGGCTTGTTTATATATAGTGTTTTTTTTTTTTATTTCAAATATTTTATTTTATTTAATAAATCAGTGAATTGGATTTCTTTGCCAGATATAAAAGCACATCATCATAATTCCAATTCACAATAAATAAAGACAAAATACCTTGATAATATTTCTATTGCTTCCTACCTTTTAAACCAGTAAAATGGGATAATTCCACCCTCCTTTAGCTGTTGAGAAAGTCATAATCTACTAAAGCTAGTTGTCTGGATTTTTTTTCTAAAGAAATATTTTTTTGGCATCAGAAGAGCATGACTCATCCAAAAGACTTCAGACAACTATTTAATGACGGAATACACTGTACATAAAACTGCCTTGTTTATCGATTAGAAAAGGTGCCTGCACATTTGACTTATAAATGAAACAGAATTTCTAGAAAGCTAAAACAAAGTAATTTAATCTCACTAGAGATACTTTGTATAAATTCTTCCTGGAAATCTTAATAATTTTGAACAAAGAATGAACTCAAATCTCAGTTTCTGTGCTCTAACAGCATTACATTTTTCTTAGAATATCATTGGAGTTTATTTGGACCAAAAGTCTTGGCAGCTTTTCTGGATAGACTTGGGTCTTGGCAGCAATTCTTGATTGACTTACATATTCATCCTTATTCAATATTCATTATTTTCTAATGAAGAAAATACAAAATATGTTTATAAATGGATATTCTTTAATACCTTTGTTGTTATCCATTCCTCCAACAGCATAAAGTGTGCCAACTGTAGATTTTCTAGGTTTCGTTCTTGGACTTTGCATGAGAGTTCTTCTCTCTGGTAAAAGATGGTATTTCATGGCTTCCAGAATAAGCTTCTGGCATTCTAGGTCATCCTTAAAAAGTGCATGGTTTTCTAGGTCAGCCAGTATCTGTGAATGACAAGATTATCAATAAAAAATGTTGTCATATTCCTAGGAAAGCAATACTATTCAATAAGATATCACAAAACTGATGTCATAAATTTATGACTTCAGTGTGGAATACAGGCTTTTGCAGGATCCTTTTTGCAGGAAGAGGGCCAGGAAAGTAAATATTTAATTGATTTTGAAAAGACTCCAAGCAACTTTTAGATTATCTCACCATCCCTCAAGACTACAATCTGTCTCTTACTGAAGCCACTGAAGAAAATTAAGTATTCTTTTGTAGGCTACAGCCTTACTTATTTTAATGGTTTCCAACATTTCTGGATTTGATAGGATCCAGGAGGCATCTCTTTGTAAGCATCCTGAACGTGCAGTCACATAACACCATTATACAGTATTTTATGTATTTTACTTTCCAGGAACATCCCTTATTTCTAATAAAATAAAATAAAATAAAAAACACAATCAAACAAACAAAATGCTAGTGCAAGTTTTTCATTTATTGATTTGCTGTATTATTGGAAAAAATAAGGATTAATAATCCAGATCATGTGACCATCTTTGTAATTGGTGTAAAAGCTATTAGTAGTATAGTTACTATAGTTACTATAGTTACTAGCTATTAGTAGCGCAGTTACTGAATACAGCTGAAAGAACATTCTATTATATTTCCAAGAAATTGTAAATGTTAAATGTTGAATTTACTTGCCTGTATTGACATACCTAGTAGCATTTGAAATGCTATGCATCACGGTTGCAGTTTCTCCCTTCAGGCAGCTAAACACTGCACAGCCATTTGATCACTCCCTACCTGCCAGCCACCCCCCCACCTCCCGCCCCAAGTGAGATGGGGGAGAGAACTGGAAGGGAAAATAATAATAACTATATACATATAAACATAAAAAGAAGTGATGAACAATGAAATCACTCACTATCTACCAACCGATGCCCAGCCAGTCCCAGAGCAGTGGTCCCACCCTCTCCCAGTTTTATTGCCTCACATGACACCATGAGGTATGGAATACCCCTTTGGCCAGTTTGGGTCAGCTGTCCTGGCTCTGCCCCCTCCCAGCTCCTTGTGCATCCCCAGCCTCCTCACTGGACAGTGTAAGAAACTGAAAAGTCTTTGGAAGAGTGTAAGCATTACTCTGCGACAACTAAAATATCAGTGTACTATCAGTGTGTTATTCTCCTAAATCAAAAACATAGCACATACCAGCCACTCTGAAGAAAATTAACTCTATTCCAGCTGAAACCAGAACAATCACCCTTGAAATTTTCAAGATCCCATTGAGGTAAGCAACCTGGCCTAGACTCATAGCTGACTCTAAGCAGGAGTTTGGACTAGAGAACTCCTGAAGCCTATTCCTGCCTGAACAGTTCTGGGATTTGATGCCAGTGTGGTAAACTTCAGCTCTTATACAGATTTTGTGTCATACCTGCCAGGCCCATGCAGATGTCTCAGCTTCCCTAAGGTACCAGAAGTGGATCAGACTCTCATTGGCATCTAGGCAACTGAGTATTACCTTTAGATGCTGATCCCTATATGCTGTTGACTATACAACATCATATATTAGAACAGGTTTTAATTGCGTATGGCAACACACCTGTACAGTCTGGAAGATCTCTAGATCTTATACGATATCTGTCTTGGAGACACAGTTGCTTCTGGAGATGCAGGAGATGGCAATGATGCTGAAGAATTTAGTCCTCAGTGTCTACAAAAAAACATCACCCTTGCAGACACATACATACAAACATACACAAACTGCAACTAGATAAAGGCAGCTAGATTCATTTTAAGGACCGTCAACTAACTGTCAACTGAACTCCAACTGCTGATGAATGTGTGAGTGTCCTTCATCAATCTCTCAGTCTTTTTCAGATAGCATGTTCTGTGACATCCAAAACATTACTAGTTGGTACCTGTAAATAGCACACTGTTGCATCTGATTTTAGGTATCAGTCATGAACTGAATTTACTGAGTTCCAAACAAAGGTATTACATCCTTCAGTATCTCAGCTGGTGCTCCAGAACTCTTATTTTACATGGCTGATGACCTAACAGACAGTAGACCTGGTTACTAAAATACAGAAATAAGAAGAGTAATCTAGCCTAGTATTTTGTCTCCAACTGCAGCCATAAGCCAGTGAGAAAGCCATAAGACTAGTTTCATATACAGAGTAATTCTCCTTAATATTCCCCCAGTATCCAACTTTCAGAACAAGGACCTTCTGAGATGAATGTATTTTCTACGCATTTTATAATTCTCTAGGACCTTATCTTCCATAAATCAGTATAATCCTTCTTTGAACTCATGTAAATTTCTTGCATCAACAATGTATTGACAACAAATTCATCCTGTGTCTTGATGAATATGAAGGTTTACCTCCCTTTGCTTGCTTTGAACCTGACTCCTTTGGCTTCATTTTCATTCAATATGTTTAGTTCATTTCTGTCATTCAAAGCTCCATTCATAGCCCCCTAATTCTTCTAACGGATGAGCAAATGCATAATTGAGCCCTACCATACTCTCTAAGTCAGAGTCACAAAGCGGTTGAAGTTGGAAGGGACCTCTGGAGATCATCTAGTCTAACCTCCCTGCTCGAGTAGGTTCACCTAAAACACATTGCACAGGATTGTGTCCAGGTAAGTTTTGAGTAACTCCCGAGAAGGAGACTTGACAGCCTCTCTTGGCAACCTGTTGCAGCACTCTGTCAACCTCACAGTAGAAACGTTTTTCCTGATATTCAGCTGGAACTTCCCGTGATTCAGTTTGTGTGTATTGCCTCTTAGCCTTTCACTAGCCACCACTGAAAAGAGTCTGGCTCCTTCTTCACACCATCCCTTAAGATATTTGTATATGTTGAATAGATCCTCTCAGTCTTCTCTTCTCCATGCTAAACAGGTACAGTTCTCTCAGTCTTTCATCATAAGAGAAATGTTCCAGCCCTCTGATCATCCTAAGAGAAGACAGGTAAGACAAAGGGACTGAAAATGCTGAAAATGTATCTATTAATATATATTTGGGGATGTCAAGTATCTTTAATGATCTCTGAATAAATTTCTGCCAGTGTTCCAAATCTGGCTTCACGTAACAGAAAATGAAAGGATGAGGCCTTTAATTTCACCTCCCAAGGAATAATAAAGGGCTTATATGCTTTCTCTCAGTTTGGCAGATTTTTTATTTTTATGTTTTAAATTGTCATATCAACCTTCTTTGTCTGGTGGAACAAACACTTTTCTCATCTTAAATAGAGAATGAGGCATAGAAGACATACATTTACTTTTATATAAATATATAAATTGTATTTGCTAGCATTTGCAAATAAAACAACAGTATCTATCATATTCATTTTTATAAATGTGTATGATTCTTGTATTGAGAAAATACTAAAACAATACTAAAACATCTTTGAAGCAGAAGCAGTAGAACTGTAAACAACCAACTGTAAAAAAAAAATAAAAATTGGCTAATATGAATACTGTCTTAAAGAAATGTTACTGTATAGATTTGAAATTAAACCTCCTTTAAATTTGTCATAAGCTCCCATTCTGGTATCTCCCTAAAATATACATATCTTTCAAACCAATTAGTTTCTACTGATCTATGTACTCCAAGACCATATTCGTATGACCACAGAAATTCAGTATGTGGCAGCCAATATCACATACAGAAGTTATCAAGTCATACATTTTGAAGGTTTACTCCTCAGAACCACTTATCTGTGTCTAGATTTCAGATAACTAACAAGAAAAAGCATCTTTTTTTTTTTTTTTTTTTGGGGGGGGGGAATCAGTTCACTAAATAAGACACTAATACTACAGTCAGCTTAAAACAACGTATACTTACATCTATAATACAAGTGGCTAGAGGTGCTCGGTTGTCAAGTTTCTTATTAAAATAATATGAAACTCAGGCAGAAGAGAAATAGATACATGCAAAAAAACAGCAGACTATTGTGTTCCTTGATGGTAGTATTTTTAAAAGGTGTAACTGTACATGGCTGAGGTTAAGAGCTTGATATAAATGTTTGCAAATATTTGCAAATGTTTGCAAATTTGTTTGCACATGAAACAAATTACACTTGAAAACATTCTTAAACTTTATTATCTTTAATGAATGGCCAACTCCTAAAGTCTGCTATTTTCAGTCAAAATGGCTTCCTTTAAATTTTTTTCACAAAGTGCATTTAAATGGATATATTTCTGATATATTTCTGATATATTTCTATATGTCCGATATATTTCTTAAACATATAGTCCAATATATACTACCTTCACACCTAACCTCACGAATTTAAATATCAACATTTTATTCTCTTCCCTCAGAGTTGGTATTTTCATATTGACAGTAATAGAACTACATAAAATACTGTTTTGCTATATGTTTTTACATTTGATATTTTTGAGCTACAGTCAGTACCAGAATAGTACCAGAATATATAATATAATAATTATATGTAATATATGTAATATATATGTAATATATATATACTTCTATTATTTTAATTTTCTTCATAATAGCTAGTATGGTGCTGTATTTTGGATTTAGGATGAAAATAATGTTGATAACACATCAATGTTTTAGTTGTTGCATACACTAAATCAAGGTGAGAAATCAAATGCAGTTCACATTACTAAGAATATTAAAGTGTGCTAATAAACACTGGTAGCTGTATTTCATAACATTAATTTACATTTCATAATATTAAGATTCTTGATATATCATTTTTTGTGATTCTTTCACCTTTGAAGTCCTCAGCACACTACTCAGTAGACGAAAAATCAAAGATCTGAAGACAAATAATGTTCAGAGTTTTGAACAGGATGAAGCTTTCTCTTGCAAAATGCTTTATCATTTAGGGCTACTGAACCAAACAGTGTACTCTGTCAACAATTAATTTATCATCATACAGGCACAACAAAGGTGAGAAATCAAATTATCAGTTTCCTCTGCATAAATTTGAGATAATGTATAGTAGCCTATACTTTCTAATGCTTA